ACATTATTATGTTAAGACTGTTATTTTAAGTTACCCATGTATCAGGCTATGAAGTGGAACCTTGCTGGAAAATTTGGAATTTAACCAAGATTGAAAGTATCACCAAAAGATGAGACAAAAAGTATTCCCCCACAAATTTATGAATCTAATATACAGCAAAGCAAGTAGGCAAAAATAAAGCTTTTTCTGCAGAGACTTAATCGTAGTCTACCATTCTACACCTAGCTTGATTGGTACATCATTTACTTTGATGTGCATGTTATTGTGGTTAGTGCTCTTTCTGAAAGGAAATAATTTTTTTGAGAAGCACCATGTGGTCACTAAACGTTCCTGCAGTAAAACGTTTCCTACACAGCATGGCTGCACGCTTCTGAGAGGCCAGAGTAGGTAGAACAAAAGGGTCTCGATAGGCAAGAGCACAAGCAATGGTAAGAACAGGATCCAGGCACTTCAAAATGACAGCACACACCACCATTTTACCAAGGTGTGGCTCTACTGGCAAATCAGTGAGATGATAACCAAGTTCAGTGAGATTTTCCCAAGGGTCCATGGCATCTATAGTCTGTTTAATGAAAAAAAAGGGGGCAAGGTGGGGAGAAGGGGAAAAGTGGACAAAATTAATACAACAATGAAAGCAGAAAGAATATGAATATTGGACATTACCTACACTTACTTCCTAACACTAAAAAGGCAAGTGAAATTATTACCAGTTCAAGACAAAAATTTTAAAGCTCTCTCTTTCCTTAACATGCAAAGATACATTCACAGTCACAAACTGAAAATAGACTACAAACAGAAGTTCAAAGCATTCTTAAGTAACTAAACAGCAGTTTCTGTACAATCAAAAGTCAGTTAAGCTATGTTGCTACACCACAAACAGATCAAACACAATTCCCATCTAAATCTATTCCTCTAGTGACCTTGAGCATTTGCAGAGCATTTTTCACAATTAAAGCTGGTGGAGGATCAGGAGCTTTCATAAGAAAGTCAACAACTGGACAATGAATTGGAGCCAGTAGTTTGGTGTGTAAGCAAAGCTCCTGCAAGTTAAAAAGAAAAAAAAATATTGTTAAGGTTTGAGAAAAACAAAACAAATGCATACTTTTCTGGAGTTTATAGAATGGTTTGATGATAACACTTTTTTTTAAAGTTAGAATTTCTAACAACGTGCACCTGAAGTGGCATTCTTAGAAGTTCTGGAGTCTGAAATTCCAACATATTCTGAAATCGGAGCCTGCTGAAGAGACGAAAACAGATTCCAGGCTGACAGCGCCCAGCCCTGGAAAATAAAATATGGGAAGGTGTAAAAATTAGAATTTCTTTTTTAAAAGAAGACCAACCAAACACAAACCATCCCACATAAACTTAGAACTCAAATGTAGAAACAGGTCTCAGTGAAAGATAATTTTGTTGTTAAGTGGACGTCCCACACATGAAGGTGGAATTTTCCAGTACATGGATTATTGTTGAGAGTATGGAAATTTGTCTTGTAATTTTCACCCTACACTGAAAAATCTGTAGAAACAAAAATAAGGTTTATATAAATAAAGTGATGTGGGTTTTTTGCTAACTTATGCTTAAACCAAATCTTAACCGACCTTTGCCATAAGAAATCTAAGTTGTAAACTTCCTTTCTTCCTCTTCACATCCCCCAAAGAAGTTACTCTGGGAGTAAAAGGTAAAACAACTTCTGAGAGAAGAGACAGCAAATGCTCACATTCACACTCAAACACCTGTAGGTTAACGTCAATATAATGTCACCAAATACAGGCACTTGCTGCTACATACATAACTTATCAGCCCTAACCCACAGTGTTGGGAAGAATATGATTGAGCCCTGTTAAATCATTAATAGCTTGGAGAAGGTGAGGAAGGAATCACTGCTCAGTGTCTCTTCCAATATGGGGATGACAGGGCACCAGTTACAAACTAGCAATAGGCATTCCTTTGCCCACAGACAAGTTGCAAAATACTTCCTTCAGTGGACACTTGTGCCTGCTGGTGCTACATGGGAGAAAGAGGAAGGAGAGCAAGTTCACAGAGGAACAACAACCTAGACCTAATAAAAGTTCTGTGATATTCCTATGTGTCACTTTTCTACAGCTTGGCAAATGACTCCAAGGAAATATACCTGATTCTCACTCTACCAGAGAGATCAAGCACTGACCATTGTCCCAGACGATACTGGACTAGGATAGAAGCATTACCCAGTATGGCTGCTATTATGTTGCGTACTTTATTTTTAACGGACAAGATGGTGGATGTCTGCCAAATAAAAATCAGTATGAAACGTTTATTACCTTCCTTTTCTCTGGATAGCACTGGCTTTTGAAATCCACACCATTTTTAACATTGTAACACAACTCAGTGCATCAAAAGACTTCTATAGAAGCAAAACCAAGAACATAAAACGAAGATTGAATCACATACATGAAAGAAAAGTTAAAATTATTTATCAACAAGATTTCTTTAAAAAATATAAAATAATACTAACAAACACCAGCGGCTTCCATCACAAAGTTACATTTTGAAGTAGTTAGTTTCAAGTGAATTTATGCTACCTTCTTTGCAAATCTTTGTGCAACACAGTTTTCTAAATTAACATTCTACTCAACAAGCAATTTTAAGTCAATAGAATATATGGATTGTGTTTTGAGTTATCATAAACCAAGTAAATAAATGTTATTACACTGACTAAAGTTTTCCTCAGTGTCTCACTTGGAAATTACATCCTTATTTTCTCATACTTCATACAAATGACAAAAAAAAAAGTATTACCATGAGAACTTGAGAAATTTGGTGTGTATATCCCCTACGAAATACAACTCAAAGCCATATATTAGGTCTTAAACTACCTCATTATGCTATCTCACTTTTCCTCAAGATGTACTTTGGGAATGGGCATTTGACACATCAAAAACAATGCTTAAAAACTTATTAGATTAGGTTTGAATTTGATAGAATCGTAAGACAAAGGGAATTCCCAGTGTTCTCTGAGTTTCAGGAAGATGGCAGTCTAAACT